TAAGGCAATTTTCTCAGGTATTTTACCACAGATGGTCTCAAACCACACAGCACTGTGGGCCCGGAGGAGGAGTCAGCAGGCCCTCCAGGCACTGGGCTTCAACATGGTGACCTGTGACATGCAGTTCATATCCAGGCTGTGGACAGACAGCTGAAGTCACATACCCACGTGCCTTAAGACTTGAACAAAACAGCTCACTCCCAGGCCTTCCTGCTGGAAGATCAGGGCTAGGGCGCTGGCTCTGAGGCAGGGGCAGGATAGGCGGATGCTCTCAGTATTAAACCAGGGAGCTGTCCAAATCACAGGGCTGTGTGGGATGTGGGAAGGAGGGGTGCCACCAGGAAGTGGATGGAAGGACTTCCCGGGCTGGAGGGGTCCTGATGGTAGATGGTGCTGAGGTTTGAAGGTTACTGAGGTGCCTGAGGAAGAATGGCTCTGGGGGGCTTATCTTCTGCTGTGTAACAAGTTATCCCAGGAACAAGAGTTACTATGGCAGTTTCTGGGGGACAGGAATCTGGAAGCAGAATGGCGGAGGACTCTGGCTCTGGGTGTCATGGGGTTGCTTGAAGTCCAGAAGACAGTTGGGGCGCCATCCTCCCAAGTCTCTATGGGGTTGGAGGACCACTTCCAAAATGGCACCCTTGCATGGCTAATGGCAGGATGCTTGCGCGCCTAGCCAAGTGGACCCATTCACAGAGCAGCTTATGATGGGGCAGGAGATCTCCCTCAAAGCAAATACCAAGAAGGGGAGAAGGAGGCAAAGGACGAGAATGAGGGAAGAGACAGCGAGAAAGGGAGCAGTAGAGAAAGACGAGGAGGAGGAGAAAGAGGGAGATAAAGACAGAGGAAGGAAGAAAAAGAGGAGAGAGAAAGAGGAAAGGTGGAGGAGAGAGAGAGAGGGAGAAACAGAGACAGGGAGAGGATAGGAGGGGAGATAAAGAGGAGAGAGACAGAGATAGGGAGAGAGAGAAAGAGGAGAGGGACAGGGAGAGAGAGAGACAGGAAAAGAGTGATAAAGGAGAGAGAGGAGACACAGAGAGACACCACCGAGGAAGAGTCAGAGTGCCCCGTAACCTAACCTGGAGCCAGGGAGCGAGCCATGGCTTCTGCTGCCTCCCTCCGTTGCTCATACAGACCCACCCTGTGACACTCAATAGGACCAGGACACCAGTGCCAGGAGGGCAGATCACTGGGCCATCTTGAAGACTGGCTACCACAAACTCCAGAAAAAATAAGCACATAGATGGCCTAATGTTCTCAGTACCAAAGAGATTCATGTTCCATTTATTCCATGGCAGAGTTTGGGGATAAATAAGTCATGGGCACATAGAAAACAACCCCCCCCACCACCAAATGAGGCAATTATTCAGTCCAGGAAACACAAGAGATTGTACAGAGGTGTAATTACAACATGTTCCTCAGCAGTGACCAGCGTATGCAAAGAAACATCTTTTTTTTTTTTTTTTCAGTTGTAGATGGGCACAATAGCTTTATTATGTTTATCTAGTTTTTTTATGTGGTGCTGGGAATCCAACCTAGTGCCTCATGCATGCTAGGCTAGGCAAGCACTCTACCACCAAGCCACAACCCCAGTCTGCAAAGAAACATCTTGCACATGCTGAATCCTGATTCGTGGGGACAGGAGGAAGCAGGAAGCGGGTGGTGTGCGTGTGTGTGTGTGTGTGTGTGTGTGTGTGTATGCGTGCGCGCACGCATCTGGGCTCCAAAAGTGCTTACACGTGTGCATCTGGGCTCCATGAGAGAACAAACTTTCAATCCCCACAGCGGAATATTGATTGGTAATTTCTAAATCTGAAAAGTAAAGGGAACAGCAGCAGTAACATTGCTACTCAGAAGTAAATGCTGAAAGAGCAGCCGAAACACCAGGGGGAGCAGGGGGCTGCGAAACGGCCTGGGTTCCATCCCAAGCCCTGCAGAACGAGCTGATCTTCCAAACTGTGCACACTTTGTTTAGGAAATAACAAAAGAAATGTGAATCACCAAAAACAAAACCAAACAAAAACAAAGCACCCAACCTCCCGCCACACCCAGCTCCCTGCAGCCTGGGCAGGAGCCCAGGAAGCCAGGCCTCTTCCTGGGCCTGGGCCCCCCAGTGTCCTCCTTCTCCTCCTGCAGGTGCCCTGGGTCTTTCTGCTCTGTCCTGGTCCTCAGCTTGCACCCCTGGCCTGCCACCACCTGGAGCTGCCCTCTGCAAGGTGGGAGGAGCCTGAGAAAGGGAGGAAGCCAGAGGGGTAGGCAGGCAGAACACCACCAGCCCTCACTGGCCTGCAGGGGGAGTGGAGGCTGAAGGGCTTGGTCCCTTGGCTGGGGCGGGGAGCAGACTGTACCATCCTTCCACGCTCCTCGCCCACCACCCACCTGCCACTCACCCGCATGCCAGCACAGCCGCCTCTGCTGTTATTAGTAATGGGCAAAACTCCATGAGGGCCCTGGCCAGGGGAGAGCAGTGGGACCACTGGGCTGCTGGGGCTGCTGGGGCTGCTGCTGGGGCAGGTGGGCCAGGCTGGAGAGACCCACCTCACGCAGGCCCTTGGTGGCACCCCAAGTTCCTCACCTCTCTGAGGGACCTGAGACCAGGCTGCCTTGGGTAGGAGAGGGGTGTCTGCAGCTGGGGCACTGCGCCTGGAGGGGAGGGAGCAGCCGGTCCCTCGTGCTCCCCAAACAAGCAGAACGCAGGGCAGGAGCCTGCATTGGAACCTGCACACAGCTGTCCCCACCAGACACAGAGCTCCAGGCAAAGCCCTGTCAGCTCTCTTCTGGGCGCGTGCACAGTCGCTGGGATCTAAGGGGCAGATTGGTGCCCCTGCAGCCTGAGCTGGCCCTGGGGCCCATGGCTCTAGTGAGATGTTGAAGAAGGGACCAAGGGGCCCAGTGTCTGGTACGGGTGGACTGGGGCTGGCCTTGGACAGATCCTACTGGTCACTCCAGCCCTGAGGGGTCCTGGGTGAGAGCCAGCAGCCAGGCCAACCCACTGCTGGAAGCCACCCCTTTCCAGTCCCTAGGCAGTTTGGGGGGCGGGGAAGGGGCACAGAGGCCGGCAGGTGAACTGGAAAGTCTATTTGGATCTGACTTCAATTATTAAGAGGTTCAAAAATATTCTTAGCACTGAAGAGCTGTGGTCTGCTGAGATGGACATCACTGCGGCCTATTTTTAAGGCTCTGCGGGAAGGAGCCCAGACGCCACTGCACTTAGCCCCCACCCGCCCTCTGCTCTGGCGTGGTGTCTGGCTGCCCACCCAGCCCCGGCCCCAGCCCCAACCAAGCCTGCACCCTGCTGCTTCTGTTTGTGCCCTTGAGCGTTACTCTTGCAGCCCCATGAGAGGGGTCTGCCCCACTGTCCCTACCTGTGGCCTGCTGGCTAGACAGCCATTACCTCTGGCCTCTGTGGACCCTGCTTCTCCAAAAACAGCCTTCCTCACTGGAATCACCATGCGCCAGGCCTGAGCCAACCCTTAGTTCCTCTGCCTGTGGTCTTCCCAGTCCCAGGGAAGGCGGGACAGGTATGGTTCCCTCCTGACGTCTGTGCTGTGCCCAAGGCACTAGTGAGGCAGTCCATTCCTCAGCTTCAACCTTGTGCTTCCAATCTCTCTGACCGTGGTTCCTGATGGACCTCTGGTAGGGAAAAATCTGGAAGAAGGGCTGGGGTTGTGGCTCAGTGGCAGAGCATTCGCCTAGCACGTGTGAGGCCCTGGGTTCTATCCTCAGCACCACATAAAAATAAATAAGTAAAATAAAGGTGTTGTGTCCAACTACAACTAAAAAAATAAATTTAAAGAAATCTGTAAGAAGCTGGGAGGGTGGGTGGTAGGGCCAGGGAGTACAGGGTGAGTGCATGTCAGGGGTGTGGTGGGCAGCCGGCCAGGGCTGTGCCTCCTGGGGACCCTGATGGCCTGGGGCACCCTGGCAGGGGTCCTAGGCCTCAGCTCAGGCCCTCTACCTCAGCAGGTGGGTGGAATAACGTGGCAGCTTTCCTAGGAGCACGCTGGGGAAACAGGAATCTGGACACTGCTGGGGTCTTTGGCAGCTCAGATCCCCTGGAGTCCCCCCAGCTCCCTGCCTGGCTCCGCCCCCGCTGCTGCTGATTTAGGTGCATTCTCTCCCTAAGGGCCAGGCAAGCCTCTCCCATCCTCAGTGGGAAGGGGCCCCCAAAGGTGTGCCTATCCCTGGGCTTGGGTGAGAACGCCTCCTTGACTCTGGCTCTCCTTGTGTGCAGTGCCTGCACGGGCTGTGGCAGTCATGTGTCTCCTGGAGAGCCTTTCCCAGGTCTGCTTGGGGCAGTGACATGAAATTTTAGGGGGACAGCCCTGGGGGCTTCCACTATGGCCCTGTTATCCTCAAACCCTGGATAGGACTACACAGGGGTCCTGGCCAGGAGGCTGACCTGTGCACAGGTGCTCAGTGGGCAGGCGCCACCCTCCACCTACCATCTTGTTCCTGGGACCAGCCTGGGACTCATCCACACTTCACTTGCTGGAGATTTCCTGTGTCTGAGACTTGGTACGTACCTGCCATCTAATGCCCCAAACCCGATGAGGAAAACAGGTTCCAAGTGGGAGCTGGTGCTCAGCTATCAGAGGCTGCTGTAGACCCACCCCAGGGGGGTCCTCAACACCCATTGCAAGCTGGCTTGCGTAGGGGCCTGGCAGCTTGACTTCATCTGGATAGGACGTAATGGGCTGTCCCTTGGGCTCAGCAGGAACCCGTCACCCCCAGCCTGTGCCTGAGTCTCTTTCCCTGCTGCCCTCCTGTTTGGCCCACAGCCCAGCTGCACTAAAGGCACTGGGTCAGGTTGCCTAGAGACCCTAGGAAATACCCACAGATGGTGTGCAAGACACGAGTGTATTTTTTAATTTTTATTTTGGTACCAGGGATTTAACCCAGGGGTGTTTTACCATTGAGCCACATCCCCAGCCCCATTTAGTATTTTATTTAGGGACAGGGTCTCACTGACTTGCTTAGCACCACACTTTTGCTGAGGCTGGCTTTGAACTCACAATTCTCCCATCTCAGCCTCCCGAGCCACTGGGATTATAGGTATGTGCCACTGCACCTGGTGACATCAGTCTATTGAAAGCTGCTCATGGGGAAGGCCCAAGGCAGCAGGCTGGACAGGCGGTACCTGTCCCTCACAGTGAACCTCCTGTGTCTCCATCCCTTTCCACACCTTGTCCAATGGTAGCTGGCTGGACAAGAGGAACTTGTCATCTCCATGGTGCCCCCAACACCAGGGCAGTCACCCAGGGAGGAGGGTTTGCCAGTCAGGCCGCAGCAGTGACATCATTAGAGTGCTCCATTGCATGATCAGCATCCCAAGAAGCAGCAGGCCTGGTGTGTGTGCAGGAAGGCAGCTCTTACTGTAACGCTAGTCTGCCCACGTACCACGTATGAGAGTCAGTGTCCCTCAGGATGGCATTTACCTGGACATTCTGGTCTGGGCGTAACATGGCTTGGGAATAGACAGGGGTGTTTCAGGGTCATGATGTCCCACCATCCTCCATTTCTTTAAGGACGACCCCCCGCCTCCTCTTCTCCATTGCTGGCCACCTTCCTCCAACCTGATCTGGAACTAGGGAAAGGGGCCCACGGGATCTGGCAGCCAGCCCTCTACCCTGTCCTCTCCACTCTGGGAGCAAACTGGCACATGAAAGACCGGGGATGAGGCAGGCTGCAGGTGCCACCCACTGCGCCCTTCCTCTCAGTTGCCACTCCAAGCCCATGCCAAGAGAGGAAGTGGCCAGATGGGTCTGGGAATGAGCTGCCTTCCCACAGTGGAGACGGGGCTTGAGGATATGCCTCTGGGTGGGGATGGCAAGAGCATCCTGGCTCTCCAGAGGTGGGCATGGGCCTCAACTGGCTTCCTGTTTGGAATCCTCTGAAACCCTAGGTGCCTGTGCCCACCCTTGGCTTCGATTCAGAGTGAGGACACTTGTGGGAGCTGAAGCATGGCCACACCAGTGTGGATCCCCTCTGTGGCCCACTATGGCTGGAGGGGCACCAGTTAAAAACGAACCCTGAAAGAAAAGACAGAGCAGGTGGAGGCAGGTCTGTATTCAGAGGAGTGGACGGGGCAGGAGAGCCATGGTGCTGGCACAGCCTGGGCCACTGGGCACGGGAACCCAAATCCTCCCCCTGTGCTCTAGGAGGATAATCGCAGGCACTTTCTGGTTTGGGACTGACCCTGGGAAGGTCTGTCCTATTTGGGTATTGTGGCCACACCCACCAGCCAGTGCTAGAGAGAGTGGGCTGTCATTGACCAAGCTGGGCTGTGCTTGGCCATCAGCTGGCTGTTCCAGGGGGTGTGTCCAGGGTCTGGGCCTATACCTGTGGTTAGGTGAGGTCCCCACAGCTACTGTCCTGAGGCGGGAGTGGGAAGCCAGCAGCCCGAGTGCTCATGGCACCTCGTCTCCTCCACTCCAGAACGGGCTCTGCTGCTCCTGGGAGCCTCCAAGTCTGTCCCGGGGCCTCTGCTGTGGTCCTGAGGGGTCTGTAGGCTCTCCTGGGCCCCCTTTGGGGCATGCCTTTGGACAATGTGCCTTCTGACTCCTGGTAATGACATGGAGAAAGGGCCATCATCAAATGCCACAGCCAGCCCGGAAGACCCCGAGTGGCCCCTGGAAGGCCCATGGCACTCAGGCTGGCCAGCCCCGACTATGGAACTGAGCAGTCCAGAGGCCCATCTCTCAGTTCTCAAAGCAGCTTAGCAAGGCCTAGGAACAGCCTCCAGGAAACGAGGGCAGGGGGGAGACGGGCACAGAGGAGGCACAGCTCCCGAGTGCTCGGTGCTGCCAGGCTTGGGCACCTCACAGTCTTCCTTTGGGGAGGGAGAAGTGCCAGAGGCAGGCCCCGAACCCAGGATGCCACTGCGGCCTGCATTGCTGCTTATCAACACCCTGGGCCTCACCTTCCTCCACCTAACAGCGTGATTGAGTACCTGCCTCCTGGTGAGACTGCCGCCAGGCTTTGCTACCTGCCCACAGTGCTCACGACAGGCCTGCGCTCCGACCCCTAGCACAAGAACTACTGTGCTGCCTCTAGAGGTGGAAACTGAGGGCCAGGGTACCTGTGATGTAGCTGTCTGTGTAGGCCTTCCAGGGGCCATGCCATTTCTGTGGAAACCGGGCCATGAGAAGCTGGGATAGCCCTGCTGGGAGACAGGCCTTGGGCCTGATGTTTCCAGAGAGTTCCCTCCAAGCCAGGAGTCTGTCTCACTCTCCTCCCCCTTTGGGATCTCTTCTGGGTTCCCGGCCAGTCCCAAGGCACAACACTGAAGCAGGGAGAGGCTGGGCCACTGCAAGCCTCCACCTGTGGGCAGCATGAGCCTTTCCTGGTGCTCACCTCGCTTGCCCTGGTTCAGATGGCCGGAGGTGTCCCAGAGTCCTGCGAATGTGTTCTCGAGAGCGGATGTCAGCCTGGAGGAGACAGCTCAGTGAGGTGCTGGCTGATTCTGAGCCAGACTCTGGACACATCGTTCCTGCCCAACAGCCTAGGGACGCCCCCACACCTCCCACAGAGAGTCCTCCTCAGGACCAGCCTTCTGGGAATCAGGACGAGCAGGCCCTGGTGTGTGGGTGACCGGGATTCCAAAAGCCTCAGTGTTGAGGCCCTGAACCAGGGGAGGAGGGTCCTGGGGTCCCCCCGGGAGCAGCTCAGCCAGGTCACCAGAGTGAGAGGGAGCTGTGGGGCCGAGGCAGAGACTGGGACAGGCCCTAGTGGGGAGGGATACGTGACAGGGCTCAGTCCCAAGTGGGACCCTGGCCTCAAGAAGCCCCCCCTGATCCTGGCTCAGACGGGTTTAGCTTAGCTTTGGGGCCACGTGACTCATGGGTGGCAGCAGCTGATCCCCAGATGGTCCTGCTTCAGTTAGTGGGGGAAGTGGGTCGGGGTGGGCACTGGGCGGCAGCAGCCCTGCGTGGCAGGAGTGTCTGCACTTGACACAGGGGGTGCACCAGCATCTACGACCAGGGAGGGAGACTGAGACCACACCCATCCCACACACGGGAGCTTCTGGAGGGTGCTGAGGCCAGTGGCCCAGGAAGAAAATGGCAGGTCTGGGACCCTCACCCGTCCCAGCAGGTGCAGGGACCATGGGCTTCTGGGGACAGGTGGCTCTTCTCTGAAGTGTGGGTTCAAGACTTGGTGGGGGCTCTTCTCCAGCTAGAGGCACATGACCCTATTCCTAGGTAGTCAAAGTCCTTTTCAGGTGGCTGACCCCCCAACTGTAAGAAGAGGGAGCCACTGCGGTAAGCCGAGAAGAGGGCACAGGCCTGCCCAGCAGGTCTGGGACACACAGCCCAGAGGTCCAGGGCTGAGGACCGCTGACACAATCTCCTGGATTTTTTTCTCATTAGGCCACTAGGAAAGAATGGAAGAGGAAAGGCCTCTTGGGGCTGGGGACACTCACAGGTTTGACAGCCCATGTGCCTAAGACCCCAGTGACAACCTGGATGGAGAGAGAGCAAGGCTCCTGCTAGTGGACGCCCACAAGACACCTCTTGGCACAAACGCCCCAGGAGCACAGCCATGGTGTGTGCAGGCTGCTGCTGCCACCTGGAGGCCATCCTGCACTCTTGCAACCAGGCCGAGGCAGGATGAGGTCCACTCTCCACAAGCCTGGGGCCTCTGCTGGGTGGCTGCCTCCATCCACCTAGCAGAATCTCCAGGGCTGGGCTGTGGAAGGCAGGGTCTCAGGTGCAGACCATGCCCCAGCTCCTCCCAGAGGCCTGGTAGCACACAGGGAGCTGCTCCCCGAATGGCAGATCTGAACATCCTGCACATTGGTCGCCTAGTCCCTGCAGACGAGGTCTACAATCTGAAAGCTCAAGACACCAACTGGCTACTGGTTGCTTTACCCCTCCCTGTTCTGGCTGAGCTGCTTGTGCACATCAAACTCCTTCCTGCCCCAGGGCCTTTGCAAATGCCATTCCTGAGCCAGGAATGCTCTTCCTGAGGACAGCTTCTCCTTATGGCTTCTGTGGAACACATACTGGCATGTGACTGGTGTTCCCCCATCATGACTGAAGGCGAAGGTGAGCTGTGGGCATCCTGGGCTCAGCTGCAGGTTTGATTCCTTCTCAGCTGAGCCAACTGGCTCATCTCAGTGCTGATATCCTGACCCCTGAGCACCAGTTTAGGTGCTGGGTACCTGGTGTAGCCACACCTGGAGTTCCTGATTAGCATAAGCCTTCCTCAGCCCCTCCCCCAATGTTCCTGCAAGGGCCTCCAGCAAGGGCTGCTTCTTCTGGGCTTCTGACTGGGGACTGGTGGAGCACTCTGACATCAGAGTTGACATCAACTGATCCTCCAAACAACCTGGTGCCTGGGGACAGGACGCTCAAGTGAGGGAGAGGCTGAGTGTTGGGCACAGTGGCCTCTGAGGCATAAGTAGGTGGTCTGGGGAAGAATTCCTGGGAACTCTGCATCCTCTTGTCCACCCTCCTGCCTCCAGGGCCCAATAAGTCCACACTAGGCTCCCCAGCAAGGAGCCCATGGACCTGCCCTCAGCCCAGGGCCATCTGGTCCTCAAACCACTACTGTGTGACCCCAGCTGAGCTGACAAGTGGTGAGAAGTAGAGGGGCATGCGCTGGACCCCACCTGGCGCACAGGCTCTGGGATCCGGAACCTGCAGCAGCATTGGGTCAGGCGCACGGCTGCCTCCAGGCTTATCTTGTGGCCCACGGAGATGTAGAGAGGCTTGATGCTGTGGCTGTGGCTCTTCAGGGCCTAAGCATGGAAGGGAGGTCAGAGAGCTACGAGGACACGTGCCCCTGGTCCAGGCCAGCCGCAGGGGCTAGAGGCACTGAGGAGATCCTGGGTGGCAGCAGGGAGCTCTTGGACTCCCATCCCCTAGGCTCCTTCCCACTGCCTGTCCCAGGGCAGGGTGGACAAGTGCTGGCATCGAGGAGCCTGAGGTGCACGTGTGCGAGTGCACACACTGCCCTGATCTCCAGAGCAGGGCCAAGGCCCGGGCCACTCACCATTCCCAGGACAGTTCCAGAGCCTCCCATCAGAGGAAATGTATCTCCTCCAGCCTGCAGGAGCCGGATCTGGAAAAGGGGGAGAAAGCTTGTAAAAAATGTCTTTTCTTGGTGAAGGGCTGAGGCAAGCCTCTTCCTGTTTAAAACCCAGTCAGAGCTGGGTGCAGTGATGCACGCCTATAATCCCAGTGGCTCAGGAGGCTGGGGCAAGAGGATCATAAGTTTAAAGCCAGCCTCAGCAACAGCAAGGCACTAAGCACCTCAGTGAGACCCTGTCTCTAAGAAAATACAAAACAGGGCTGGAGATGTGGCTCAGTGGTCGAGTGTCCCTGAATTCAATCCCCAGTAGCAAACCCCCCCCCCCCCCCAAAAAAAAAAAAACATAGTCACAGCCAGGGAAGGGCCCTTTCTTGAATGAATACTGTACCCGAGCAAAGCCATCTGCTGAGACGGCCCTCAGTGTGCCCAAGGACCCCATCTGACTTGAAAACAAGGACTTTGAGATGGGCAGCAGCTCAACTGGGACCAGCGCCCTGGTAAGCAAAGGAGGGGCCAGGGCACACAGGGCCACCCTGGCAGCAGGCTGTGGCCAGGACTGAGTTTCTACCTTCCTCCTGCTTCCTTTCCTACTAGGAACTTGGGCACGTGTAGGCTACCTCCACACTTTCCTTTGCAGGGAAGAGGATGGGCCCACAGTGGGTTGCACTGGCCTGGGTGGGACCTGGACCCCCACCCACTTCACAGATGTTTATGGAGCGAGTGCTCCACACAGTGCCTGAGCCGGAGGAAAGGACAGATAGGGTCTCTGCTCTTGGAATTTGGTGTCCAGTGGGAAAGCCAAAATGTTAACGTCACCTCCTCAGTGCAGGCTGTGGAGCCAGAGAAGGGAGATGCAGGGATGAGAAAGGGTGTGGATGCAGTCACAGGCAGGAGCAGTGGCCCAGAGCACGGGGCGCACCGTGAGCAGGGCCTGGAGGCTGAGCTATGTGAGCACCCTGGGGGACAGGCGACTGGGAGGCACGTGTGTGTGTGTGTGTGTGTGTGTGTGTGTGTGACTGGAGGACATGACCTACAGTAACCTATAGGCGTGTGGCAGCAGCCCAGAGGTGGAGACAGAAGAGGTAGTCCTAGAAGGGGGAGGAGTCCAGGAGCCCCAGGGATTGCAAGCCACAGGCTGGGAGGCAGCCAGAGAACACCAGACCTGCTTTATTCTGGGCCAGGATCCAGGGACACAGAGGTGTCTGGGAGGTAGCTGACCTGTCCTTCCCATCCCCAGGGCCACTCCAGCACCTGCTGGCTGAGCCCAGGCTGTCTAGGCCTCCTTACCTTCTCCTTGTGCAGGGCATTGTTCTCCAGCCCATCCACCTGCAGGAGTTTCTTGGCCACCCCAATGCAGGGCAGCTCTGTGAGGACGCCAAGGTGGCAGGCCACCCCGAAGCCTGGCAGGGGGCAGAGGAGGGTGAACTGGGGCAACGGGGTTGGGCAGCAGTAAGCCACGCAGCCTGGAGATGGGTGCAGGGTGAGGGATGAACAGAACCACACCCTCTGCAGACCAGTAGAGCACTCAGGGACCAGGCTCCAAGACGTCCTGGGTGAGGCTGGGGCAGGGGAGGCCTCCTGCCTGGCAGGCCCAGTAGCCTGATCAGCATGCTCACAACAGTTCACCCTCTGCTTCCTTTTATTTTCTGGCAACTTCCTTCCTCCTCTCCCTTTGCTGCTGCCCTAAGGCCTCTGCATATCTTCCCATGGCCTGTGCCGTGCCCTGGGGCAGCCAGCCGGTCCCAGCACTAGCATCCTGGTCAGCATGCATTTACCCTTTGGCTTTGGGCCAGGATGACCATCAACCTCAGCACTCTCCTGGGCCAAGGTCCCTTCATCTATAGGAAATGCCACTCCCGTCTTGATTCTAGACAGAGGCCTGACTGTCCAGCTTGGGGATAGTAGTGAGGGTGGGGGTGCCCTGAGCTCAGACCCATGACTTTTCACAGGGGATAGGCTGGCACTAGACCAGGGTCCTGGAGAGGGGCCTGCGTAGGGTACTGTGGGGAAGAGGAGGGTAGCAGTGAGGGTGGGGTGAAAGGGGAGCTCTTCTCTGGGTGGGGATCTGTCCTGATGGTGAAAACAAGCCCAGAAAGCAGCCATCAGTGCCTGGCTGGCAGCAGATGCTCTTGCCGTGGGGTGGGAAGTACCCTCTCCCAGTCTCTCCCAGCACCCACCCTGACCTTCTCTTTTGGGAACAGGATTACCTCGGTGGTGCAGCACCCCATTTCCATCCACAAGAAGGACCTGCAGAGCCACAGGGGAGTCACAGTCAGCTAAGCTGACCCTCACTCCTCAGATTGGGATGTTCCTGGAGCTGCAGGAAGGGGAACTGCCACAGAGGTCCAGCTGTTTTGAAAATCTTCTTTTTTGGCTATGGTGGTGGTGGCTTGCAGGGGGCCTTCCCTCCCCCAGGCAGAAGCAGAGGGGCGGCTTTCCTGCCCCTGGGATGGGTCACTTGCCTGAGGCATGAGGCCCGGCTCCTTCTCCTGTAGTTGCTGCACCAAATCCACCAGGAAGGGCACCTCTCGGAAGGCCAGGAAGCCTGCCACGTAGGGGGCCGTCAGGCTGACCATTCGGCTCTCTTCATACACCACCTGCCACCAGGCATGCAGGTCAGTAGGGCCTGAGGCCACCTGCTTCCTCCCTTCATTTTCTCTGCCTTGTTGCCCTGAAATTAACTGCCAACAACCAACCTTCCCTCTCTGCCCCACCCACTGCTCCCTTCTCTGCCCCACCTATGGGTGGGACATGCAAGACAATAGGTTTGAAGGAAGGGACAAGATAACCTTCCCTGAAAATGGTGAAAATGGTGGTGGGGATTGAGTGCTCATCTGGACCTGGTGAGTTTGAGGACCCCTGGCCCCTCTTCCCAAGAGCTCTTCTAAGGGTGGTGACTAGCCTCACCCCTGGGTGCCCCTTGCCCTTCTGGGCCTCCTTGTAAGTCAACGCTGACTCCACCACCTGCATGGGCCGCTGGAGGCTCAGAGACAAGGCACAGGAAGGCACTAGCATGAAGGCAGCATCCTGTGGACACTGGGAGGGACGGGAAAGCCAGGTCTCCTAGAGACTGGGACAGTACGGCTGCCACACTGGCTTTATGAAAAGACCTCTAATCATCTAGAAAGGCGGGCATGCCCTCAGAGCTAGGAAATCTAAGAGAACCGGTGTCTCCAGAGACAGGAGAATTTAGAGACACTGAGGGAGGAGGGGAGTGCACACTGGGTGGAGCTACGGGGTCAGCAGAAGAACTGACTGAAGACCTTGCACACACTGCCAAGAGGTGAGGAGGACAGAGGGCCCAGAGGACCTGGGCTTCCTGAATGGCTGGGAACAACCCAGAGAGCTTTTAAAGTTAACTCCTTTTCTTAGGCTTCTCTGGCAAAGAGACTGTTTCAAACCCAAAAGACCCTGCCCCACAGGTTATCACCTCGCCGGGCCTGTAGGTCAGCCTCTGCCTAGAGCACCTGAGGGCGGAGTCTCCCCAGCCTGAGTTACTCTGTAGCCTGGTGAGTTTCATTCCCCACCAGGGGGCACAGTGACATCTCTGATAGGCTCATCTTATGTCCTGGGCTTGGGAAACAAAAAGGGGCTTTCCTTTCTTGTTGCTCTATCTGGTTTTTGGAGCTTGTGTGAAGAAATTCTAATTAAGCAGCCACCATCATCCTATGGGGACACACCCCCATTTTTGTTACTGAATCCTCCAGATGTCTTGATGATAGCTCCCAAATTAGTTTCTACTAAACACACCTAAGAGAACTGATTCTTCTGTGTTAGTCTGGAAGTCTGGGACTTGTCTCTTGGCCTTTTTATGAGTAACTCAGTAAGAAACTTACCTACGAATGACTCAAAGTGGGGTAGGTCCACTCTAATGGTAAACAAGAGAAACTGATTCTTAATGAACCCAAGCAGGACGGATGGCTGAAGCCTACAGATGACCTTCCACAGGGACACAAGGTGCATCCTGTGTCCCCATAGGATGATGGTGGATGATGGTGCATAGTCTTCACCTAGCCAGCTCCCACTTCCCTATTAGGACCCAGAGAGCCCCTGACCCCACGAGTCCAGGAGTGGCCCCTGCACCCTTGTCTTAGTCCATTTGGGCTGCTATAGCACAATACCTCAGACTGGGTGCCTTATAAACAACAAAGATTTATTTCTCTCAGTTCTGGAGGCTGGAAGTCCAAGAGTCCTACTACATACACATTCTCTAGACTATGCCAGGAGAGGAAGTGTGCCTGGAAAGGCCAGGTGGCACAGCCTGCGAGGGAGCAAAGCTGTCCTGAGAGGTGTGGTGTGGGGAGTGGGGAGTGGGAAGGATAACAATGGTGGGAACCCAGCCTACAGGTCATCTCAAGCAGAGAAAAGATCACAAAGGGCCTTCAAGCCACTATCAAGCGCAAACTTGATTTATCTTGAGGCCCCAGGAAGGACACAGAAGTGCTGTTAAAAGAACTCATGGTGACAATGATAGACTTTATCTTTTTAATTTCTTATTTTTAAAGGAAATCACTTAGGCACCAAGGAGCAAGACTTGGGGTGGGGAGCCCATGACAATTCGGCTCAGAAACCTACAGGAGCAGAGATGGCAGCACAGACAGGGGAGGGGCCAAGGGGAGGCAGGCAAGGGGCCAGATCCCCGCAAGACTGAAGAAGCTGAAAATGCGAGCGGACATCCGCCAGGATGTGAGGGGAAGGGGAGTCCAGGAAGGGACGGCTGCTTGGGCAGCTCTGGGTGTGTGCTGCCGGTCACTGAAGCCGGCCAGGCTCGGAGGTCCAGACCACGGGCGGTCCCTACCGGCCACAGAAAGCCCTCAGCCTCTCTCTTTCTGCTTCCCCTCCAACGCCTCTCGCCGGTCACTGGAATCCTACGACAGCGGGCTGGGGAGTAGGGCTGTCCTGGCCTGTGCCAGGGCCTGGCTCACCCCACACCGCCGAGGAGGAGAAAAGGACAGAGGAAAGGCCACCAGTCCGCTCCCGCCTTCAGCCCGCGGTCCCTCCAGGTTACCTCGAGCTCGGGGAAGCTGAGCACCACCAGGGAGGCACAGGCGCTGACACTGTCCCCTTTCACGAAGGACACGTCCACGCCGCCGACCCTCTGCAGACCCGAGAAGGCGGGGTCCCGCTGCCACGCCTCCGTGTCGCGGTCCACCAGGAGAGCCTTCAGCCGGTCCTGCTCCCTGGGAGGGCAGAGGGGTCAGCCCGGCCGGGCGCGGGCCCCGCCGTCCCGCCGCCGGGTCCCGAGGCCGCAGGGCCCGCGAGCGCCGCGCAGCCCCCGCCCCGGCCGCGGCGCGCCACTGCTTACCGTTTCCACAGCGACAGCGTCTCCTCCGGCGGCCGCCCCGCGGCCTCCGGGGCCATGGCTCGGGCCCGGCGCTTCCGGCGACGTCACTTCCGGCGCGCCGCGCAGGCCGAGCGCGGCCGCGGCGCTGGCTCGAGAGGCCACCGCGGCAGGAGTCGGCCGGGGTCGCGCTCTTCGGCGGCGCCGCGCGGGTCGCAGGACCGTTTCCAGCGCAGGGAAACGAGGGAGCGCGCGAGCGCGGCAGGCGCGCTGCACGTCCGGTTCCACGTGGGCCGGCCCGTCCTGGGTGGGAGGAACGCGTCGTCGGTGCTCCAGTGCCTGGCGCTGTGCGAAGTGCGGGGGCTGCACACCTCGAGGGGCTTCACAGGGGCAGGAAGCTGGGTGACTAGATGGCGCAGCTGCGGCGGCCCGTGATTGCGGAGTGACCCGGATACCCCGGGCGCTGGCCTGGACCTGGTGGTTGGGAAGGATGTTTGGGAGGGACCTGAAGGGTGAGTTGGAGAGCGCAGGCCAGGCGGAGGGAACAGCGGTGTAAAGGTCCTGAGGCACGCAGCGGCAGCCAGTGAGGCTGAAGCGTAGCAGTTTAACCCGTGCCTTATATTCTATGAGAACATAGAAAAGTGTGTGCCTAAGTCATGTAGTGTGAATATAGATTTCAAGAGGACGATACAGAACACTGCATTAGATTAGACTAATTCGTTTCAGGTGTGGGAAAGACTTCCTGTAGCGCCAACAACTGACAGGGCCCTGAAAGTGGGCAAGTTCCCGCCTGGGGGAGTGGGGGTGTCCCATTTCTTGAGCACCCACCCCATGCCAGGTCCTACTCTAATTTCTCACTACAGAACTGGGAGGCATTTTGCACGTCAGAAAATGGAGGCTGAAAGAGATCAAATGGCTTTTCCATGGTCATTGAGCGAGCAAATAGGAGAGCCAAGACCCATACTCATGTCCATTTGGGCTGTGATGTGTCAGCCTGGTTGCGTTAGATTTAGGGTTCTGAGGAGGTGGCTGTGCTCTGGGCTGAGGTTCCATTGTGCCTTGGGATACAGGTGGTGATCAGGAAGGAAAACTGACCTTGGTGGGTCCACGTGAAGGGAAAGGCAGCAGACTAGGGAGCCCCCAAGCAGGAGCAGCCTCAAGAGCAGTGGGGGCAGTCTACACGTGCAGGGCCCTCCCCAATTGGCTCTCTGAAACACTTCCACCAGCTGAAAAGGAAGCAGGCTCTCGTCCCTACAGGGAAGGTGTGAGTTTTGCTAGTATTTTCACTCAGGAGAAAGCACTTGTGCCTTTTCTTCCCAGCTGGACCTGGGATTCTGAATGCTTGAGCATAGGCTCTATCAATTTGAAGGGGTCAGAAAACTGCAGAACATGTGCCAGTTGTTGCTCAAACCACTGGAACCCGGCTCCAGGCCTCAGGGTTTCTTCTGTCCCACTGAGCACTCTGCAGGCCCATTCTGGCAGCACGTCAAGGTGCAGTTGGTAGCTGGAGCTCTGCTGTTTTCAGTTAAGTCCCTTTAAGCAGAGGACACCCTCCACTCCCCGGATGAGGCCTAAGGTTTTTCTACTACGGACATGCTGTTCTGCTGTTATTCTGTCCAGAGGAAGTTTACTATCTCACGTTCTAGAGTGGCCTTCTGTTCTGAACTGACTGCTTCACAAATACTTCTGCAAGGACATTTCCACAAAAACCCACAACCATTCCCACAGCCTACATGCTGTACACAGTAGCATGGCCCACAAAGAGGGATCCTTTAGCAACAGAAATCAAGTTTATTAAAAAAGCATTACAAGTATAATGAAATTTACTTTTGCCTCTGCTCCAGTGTATTTTTGTATAAATCATGCTAGATATGACAGTTAAGGCTTTGAAAGCATAGCATCTAAAATAAAACATAACAGAAAAAAATGCCCAGGTCAAAGGGAGAAAAAGGGTCTTCACATCAAGAACTTGACACCTGATTCTATCTGTGAAGGTGTGGCAGTGAGGACCTGCTGGCCCTGGCAAGCTACACCCTGACCCCCAGGCACCCAAGGCCAAGTGCTCTGGTTCTGCTAGGCAGGGATGTGGTGGGAGGGGAAGTGGAATGTTCACAGCTCACTAAATGCAAGCACATGTTCTGTGAAAGCAGCTACTACCCAAGGTCCGTCACTGCACTTCCTTCTGCAGACGCTGGGGGCTCATTCATGGAGAGGAACTGCAGTTGCTTCTATGCCTGCCTTTGCAGGTGTGCACAGGGAGGTGCCTTGTGAACGTGAGGCAAGCACTACTGAGCTGTGCCCTTCACCCCTCTTGCATTTCTGTAGCTCAAAAGTACAGGCCTGATTGGATCCCTAACTTATCTGGAATGTACATGAAAGACAGGGCCTCCAAGGTGTGGATGGCTGGTATCCTGATCCCACTGCAAATGGGCCCTGAGCTGTGAGGAACAGGAATTCATCCAGAGGTTTCAAAAGGAGACAAAACTTACAATGAAAAAGGCAGCACAAGATCAGGGCAAGTATTTTCCCTTTTTCAGAAACGGAACTGGTTTTGTACTCTCTCTGAGGCTCAGTTTTTATGGTGCAGTAGAGATCCAAAGAAAGGACTGGGAATTCACATACTCAGGGAAGCTGACCTGGCACCAAGACACCAAGACTGCATGCTTACATAGTACAACACCCACAGCCAAGAACTCCCCATGGCATCACCAGGAGCTGCCTCTGATGAACTTCATTTATAAGCTGAAGATACAAAAACCAGAAGGAGCTCTGACTGACAGTAGACTCCATTTTATTCATGGGGAAACCAAAACCCTAGCAATGTCCTGAATCCCATGCTCGTCACAGATTTGTTGGCTCTGACCTTTTGGAATCTGGCAGTGACTCACAGTCTGGTTGGTGTTTGTTCATGTGGTCTTAAGGCAAGTGCGGACACCCTGGCTTTCCTTGTGTTAGTGAGAAGATGAAAGTGGTGCTTTTTTCACATCTTAGAACCCAAGAAATATGGGCACAGTATGCAGAATTTCAGAGACTGGAAGAGAAAAGAAAAACAGATTCTCTTCTATGTGCGCAGAATAGAATAGAGTAGAAGAAAAGACCAACACGCCTGTGTTCTGCCTGTGTGGCAGTAGGAGGAAGAGGCTGCAGGCCCGACACAGGTCTCTGCTGGTGTGCCCCTTCGTTTCTGTTCTTCAAATGCACAGGGTGGCAGGTGATTTCCATTTCCAAATAATTGCCATCCTCACCACTTACTGAACAGTATTCATATATAACACGAGAATTCTGGAATCTGCATGTGTTCCAGAAATGGCTTGGCTTTCAAAAAAGCTGTAAGCTGGCACATTACGTGCTGGCCTTGACTTCAGTGCTGTGCCAACACTTTCCTCCCAGGTGCCCCCAGAGGCACAGAGAGGGGAGGGAGCCGTGTCTGCAGTGTATCCAGAAACAGAGTGGACAGTCCTATCTTGCTTGCCGGTCCTGTTTCCGTGCAGCTGCTGCTTTCCACACAGACACGCAGCTAGACAGCAGGATCTCTTCTGGGAACTGGGATTCCACTTCCGGAAGAATGTCACTGTCTTTAGTTTCCATGTAACTCACCAGAGTGTCCCTCAGGCTGCAAAGTCAGGAAAAGAGAAAGTGTTTAGAGCTACAGGAGCCCACCAGCTGCCACTCTTTCCAGGCATTGACAGGTCTGAAGTGCTAACTAAGACCAGAAACCCTGAGGGTCAGCTTAAAGTCAGCCGGCTGTCAGGTTCCTGAGCTGGACCTGGAGTCCAAGGCTTAGCTTCCTCAAGGATGTCCAGCTGGGCCACTTCAGGCACTCCCCTGACGAGCCTGTCTGGCTGCATCAGAAATGGGGCTTTGCCATTCAGAAAAGGCATGCATTCCCTCCCATGGCAGATTCTCTAGAAAGGGGAGCTCTGTTGTACACAGGCGTGTGCCATATGGCCTGAGGGCACACACAGCCAGTGTAGCCTGACTATCCATCCAGAAAACTAGTCAAGTGAAATGCCTGCCTCACACCACACATTAAAAGTGAACTAACGAAACAGACGTGTGAGACAGAACTATAAAGGTAGCAGGAGAAAGTGTGAGGCTGCTTTAGCACCCCAGGATGCGATAAGGAGAGCCTCCAGAGAATGTCCCCATGGTAGCTTTTTCTGTTTTCTTTTTCATACCGGGGATTGCACCCAGGGGTGCGTTACCATCTGAGCCACATCCCCAACCCTTTTTCATATCTTATTTAGAGACAAGGTCTCTGAGTTGCTTAGGGCTTTACAAAGTTGCTGAGGCTGGCTGTGAACTTATGATCTTCCTGATTCATCCTCCCAAGCTGCGGGATTATGGGCGTGTACCACTGAACCCAGCCCCACAAGGCTTTATGTAAAACTCCTCCATCAGATTTGACTTCTAGATGATGTGTGGATCAAAGATTAATCTGTTCTATACAAAGAGCTTTCACAAACCATTAAGAAAGAGAAACTCATCAAGGTCCATTACATGAAGATCATTGAGAAAAGCGGTTACCAGGCCCTGCCCTGGATTTATTATATCACCCAGAGTGGCAATTATCAACTTCGTACCAGCTAGGTGGGAGAATCAGGGGTTTGAACATGAGGGCTCCCTCTCCTCAGGGCCCCACTGCATATTTTAGAGAGGGGCTGGAAAGTGTGGTGGGGTGTGTGTGTGTGTGTGGGGGCAGGCCACTGACTTAGCAAGTTTCCTGCTCCCAGCATCCCCCTCCCCTTGTCTCTTTTACTCATGGGCCAGGAGGGATGGTCTCTTTGCCTCCCTTACTCTTGGGCCCCCCCCAACCCAATTTTATATGAAGAAGTATTCAGAGGGGCTTGAAGCCCCCCTCATGAGTGCCTTTTTGCAGTGTCCTGACTTAGGGTATACTTGGGACCCCTCCTTCTTCACAGCTGCTGAGCCCAGAGGCCCCTTTGGCCCGTTACTCTGAATTTTAGGATGTCATCAAAGTGATGAACCTCAAAAAAAAGAGAGATAAGCTGGTCAGGTGTGGTGGCATATGCCTGTAATCCTAGCAGTTGGTTAGACTGAGGTAGGAGGATTATAGATTTGATGCTAGCCTCAGCAATAGAGGCCCTGTCTCAATATGAAAAATAAAAAGCTGGGGATGCAGCGCAGTGGTTAAGTGCCCATGGATTTAATCCCTGGTACCAAATGATAAAAAAGAAAGAGATCAACTGCCCTGCCCAGTAACCAAAAGCTACCAAAAGATAATTCAGAAAAATGGTGATAAATTTTAAAATGTGCCAGCCACACAACTAGGTAGGGAAACACAAATGAAAGCAAGATACCATTTTTTGGCCACTAGATTGACAAAAATGTAAAATTTTAGATAATTTTGGGTATTTTTAGACTTCATACATTGTTGTGGCTTTTTCTTCCTAATCCAAAATGCATCTCTTTGACATAGTTAAGTATACTTGTAATAAGAATAAATGATTTTTTAGTTATTTTTTTAAAGTCCCCAAAAGATTAAAACCAAAGAAGCCAGCCCCTAGTTGCTCTTGTGATGGAGAACAGTAGACCGAGGGTCCTGTGTAAGACAGAACTACCTTCGTGTCAACGGGAGGGGCAAGCGTTCTGCACACCTGCTGGCTGGCAGGGTGCACACCGTACCTCCATTCGGGGTTGAAGCTGTCCTGGGTCTGGGTGTTCCTTAGTTTCAACACCATCATTTCATGGAGCTCCAGGAGGAAAGCATCCAGGTCTGTGTGATTCAGGAAGGTGCTGAGGAGCTTAGCACTTTCTGGGCTGAGGTCGGCTTTGAACATAGAACTGATTTCCCGGAAGGGATCCTAAAGAAGATGAACAAGCACAACATCAGAGCCTGGGACAAGGGTGTGGCTCCCTCCATCTGGGCAGAGGCAGGGCAGACTCACTTTCTTCAGTCGCAGCAGCTGTTCCGACTTATGAGCAGAGAGGAACTGCCAGAGGGCAATAGCGTGTTTTAACTGACCCCTGCTTAAGGCCTGGAAGAGGAAGAGTCTTGAGTAGGAGGTGAAGGCACACAGACTCCCTTGGTGCTACCCAGGGCATTTCTCCCTGTTTTGCCCATTTCCTGTCACGAGGCCACCTCTTTTCCATCCACCGAGTCTACCTGTCTCATCTTCCAAATATCTAAGAGTCTCCCCCTCCTGTAGCAACTCGTGTCTCAGCATCACACAGTGAGCAGGCAGCCAATGTCCTTAGTCCCCTGTGCATCCTGCTCTAGTAGGTGGTCAGCACTGGGCATCCCTGCCTCTCCTGGCGCCACTACTCTGTAGACTGACTGGGGGTGGGGGTTCCTGACCACCCCTTTCCAGGGGTGTCTACATGGGTGCTCCCTGCGTGGTGGCATTCTCGCAGGAAACTAAGGTGAGGCGATGCTGATTCTCCTTGAAAGGCACACAGGACCCACCTCTAGAACTGGAGTCGTTTGATCACCCATCCGAAGGATATCTTGGACGTACGCATTCAGATGCATATTTGGATCCCCACCAGCTGTGCCTAGAAAGCCCAGAGTGACCTCTACAACAGACAGGGCTTCACAGGCATCGCTGTAGGACTGCAGTTGTCCACTGATGGCACCTATGGCCGAGCTGGGGAGGGGGCTCTGAAACCAAAAGCAGGACAGAGGCTTGGGTCAGGCTATTGCTTCTCCTACTTGGTAAGAGCCTGACTCTGAGCTGCCGGCACAGGCAGGCCACCTGTCCAGCACTTGTGGCAAGAGCTGATCCCTGTGCTTGCCGAGTGTGCCAGTGTACAGACTGCATAGGAACAGGCCTGAGCTAACTGGATCCTCCCAAGGCCCCGTGAGGACATGGAGAGGCACAATAGCCTCTCCATCTGTTGACAGCAGAACCTAAGGAGCAGGAGAAATTGAGTTCTCGATCTGTGGCACCCTGGTCAGGACATCACCAAGACAACAACCCCCAAGGCGTCAGAAAGTATTATGATCTGTTTGCCACCGGCTTGCCTCTCTTCTGGAGCCCCTGGGGTCCTTTGGGAGCCAGAGAGCCTGGTGCTCACAGTGGACACCAGGATGGGACCAGACTGTCCTTATGTATGTGGATGGAACCACCCTGCAGGTGAGGGCTTATCATGACCACCTGTGCCATTTTGTTCTTGATGCCCGTGAAGAGATGTTCGAAGTTCCAGTCATGTCTGTACACCAGCGTGGGTATCCCCTGAGGTGAGAAAGAAAAACAGCTTTTGGAAATTAAATTCATAGTGGAGGCTTCCATGTGATGGCAGATGTATTCTTCAGCAGTGACTCAGAGGAAGGACCAAGGCAGACAGTATATTCCTGGGCGAGGCATGTAGCTTTGCTGCCTCCTAATGCTCTGTTTAAGCCACACTCTTTGGACACAGCAGTGTAAGAAGTCCAGCCTGGCTACAGCGGCCATGCAGATATTGCCCTGTAGACCAGTGTGTCTGAGGACCACAAGAGCCCAAGAGTGTTGGAGGAGCAGGAATGGGAATGTGCACATTGGTGAGCTCTCCAGCAACACTGAGCAGAGACCGTGCACAAGGCAGCCACTGTCAGGATGAATTAAAAATGGCTTTGGACTCCCAACAACTGACAGCCTGATTGCGGGCAGTGAGGGAATAAGTAATCTGAGTATGACACCTGACTGGACCCGAAAGGATGAGTGCAGCCACAGACAGGGACAGTGTGGAAGTGCTACCATGTTCAGGGAGTCAAGAGGCAGGTCACAGGTTTGAAGCAGCAAGTGAGGCAGGGGGTGGAGACAGCTTGAAGGTTGGTCTAGGGCCAGGTGACAGGGCTTTCTGTGCTAGCCAGGGGAGTGCGGTAGAGCCCAGGTAGCACTGTCCACATAGCATGGTGCTGCAGGGAGCACTGGGCAGCTGGTCTGAAGGCTGAGTGCTCTGAACTGAAGCCATGGCAGTGGCAGTTACAGGACAAGGGTGTGGGGAAGGCATGGTGGTGGTTCCTGGGCAAGGGCTGCATGTGAACTGAAGGGACCGCAGCAATGACAGGTCTTCTGGGTGGTGCCATTATCTGTGGTGGACACCCAGTCCACTGAGACTTGAGGCTGCCCTGGGGACATATGTAGATGGGGATGTGGAAGACAGCTGGGGACACCTCCCAGCCCAGAGAAAGTACAGGGACCGCAGACCACCAGTGGGGAAGAGATGATGCAGAGGAGACCTTAGGTGTCCCCTCAGTCTGTTCTCCCTGAAACCCACAAGGACTGTTCATGCCTGACAAGCCAATCATTGCAGAGTGCCCAGCCTACCTTGAGGGTCAGCAAGGGCTTGCCCTGGAGGAAGCGGCTGCTAATCTGCTGCTGGATCTTCTCCAGGTCGAACTCCTGTGAGGTCTTCCCGCCTTGTTCCACTTGGTATTGGCAGTTGGAGAGAATCAGTGGAATCAGGTCCCGCTCCACTTCGTAGCTGACGACATGCAGGTCAGTGACCTCAGAGGCATCCACGGAATAGCTGCGGGACAGAAGATGTCCCTTGGTGTCCGGGGCAGGTATGGGGCATGTGCTCCTGCCCTCATAGTGTGAGCAAGTGAAAACCATGTGCAAACACTGGGCTTTGTTTGTGGAGGAAAGCTGAGAGGGTCTGGGGATGGGAGCTATTGCTGGCTGGAGTCTGCAACCAGGCTTGGTGGCAGGGGTGGTGGGAGGCACAGTACCTGTTGTTTTCCTTGGAGAACTTCTCCACTGTGTGGATGATTTCATTGTGTAGGTTAATCAAGTAGCTGACTAATGCAGTTGAGCAGAGACCCAGGCCCTGACGCCGGGGCAGGATGACCTTAAAATCTGTGTCCAAATCCAAGTCGGAGCTGCAGTACTCTTTGGGTAACTTGATTTCACCTTTAAAAGACAGGGTCATTTCTAAGCAGAGGGATTCTGCTTTGGGCATTTGGGTCACAGCCTGGAGGCAGGGTAGGAGGAAGGCAGTGTGGGCAGCTGCCTCCATAGAGCTGGACCCTGACCGTTAAGTTTTCAGTGGTCTCAACTCCTTTCTGATTCCATATTTATAGATTCAAGAGGACTGAGGGTTAGGTTAGAGACTGGTTCACGTAGCTCAGCACCTCTGTCCACAGGTTGCATTGGCAGGCATACAGCAGGGTGCTGGCAGAACCAGGTGGAGGACACTTACCGTTGGTCTCCAGTGATCGCCTCAGCGCATTCCACGTGGACAGGAAGATGGTGATCCTGTTGTGGAACAGCTGCCTCAGCCCATCTATTGAGCAAGACACTTGGTAAGGTCCCCATTGGAAACAGTGCCCTGGCCAGGGTCAGACCACAAGGCGTGCTCCCGAGAACCTGACCCTGCACCTACCCACAATCAGCAGCACACCTGCATTTCACGTTTGAGGTTGTGTGAGAAGGGGTGTGTGTGTGTGTGTGTGTGTGTGTGTGGATGTTTCTGCCACAGCAGCAGCTCTCAGTATGTCTCTGGGATTTGGCATCCTTTTTACCTCACATTCTAGCTTAGGACCTAAGCCCCACCCTTCTGCCCCAACCTGAATGATCCTTTTGTACCACCAAACATGGATGGTCCTTATCTTTTGTTGGAGCAGACAGCAGTCATACCTGAACTGTGACTGCTAATAAAACTCCTGATGGTACTGTATTCATCTTCTGGAACATTCTGGAATTGTTTCACCAGATCCCTTTGCAGGGCCAAAATCTCAGGCAAGAATTTCACCAGTCTCAGTTCTGCCTCCTGGAGAAGGGAAGATGGCTCAGTAACACTTCCACTATGTAACTGAGAAACAACATGGGGCTTGTAGACTTGGGGCAGGCTGGGGACTTTGAGTGGTTTAATCTGGTCAGTGGATTGTTCTACACGATCACACCCTGCAAATGGGGAAAGGGCCATCCCATCCTCTGGCCAAGTACAGAGAGAGGGCCTTTGATACGGTAAACATGCCCTGCACTCAGGGATGTAGGATGACAGGACCAAGTCCCCGCACTCCTCCAACGAAGAGCTGCTGTGAGGACTGATCTGGGCCCCGTCTCTCAGTTTGCACAGGAATCAACTCTAGATGACCAAAGACCCAGATGTAAGACCTGACCTCTGAAGCTACCAGCAGAAAAACAGAGGAAACATTCCAAGACATTGGCACAGGTGATGGTTTTCTGGATAGAACCCCCAAACCACAGAAAGTAAGAGCAAAATGATCACATCAAAATTAAAGTCTCACACCAAAGAAAACACCCAACGGAACAGAGACAGCGTATAGAATGTGAGAAATAGCTGCCAACTATTCACCTGACAGCAGGTAAATACCCAGAATATATAACTGAAAAAAATAAATTAAAAAAAAAAAAATCAAAGTAACACATTTTAAGATGAGCAAATGATCTGAATAGACACTTCTCAAAAGAAAAAATAAAAGTGGTTAACAAATATATGAAAAAATGTTCAAATATCAATAGCCATCAGGGAAATGCAAATAAAAACTACAATGAGATGCCATCCCACCACAATTAGAATGGCTCTTATAAAAAGAAGATAGGTGTGGTGGCACACACCTATGATCCCAGCTACTCTGGAGGCTAAGGCAGGAGGATCACAAGTTTGAGGCTAGCCTCAGTAAGTTCTAGTCCAGTCTGGGCAACTTAGCGAGACTCTGTCTTTAAAAAAACAAGGGCTGGGGCTGTAGCTCAGTTAGTGAGCACTTGCCTCGCATATGTGAGGCACTGGGTTTGATCCTCAGCACCACAGAAAAATAAATAAATATTGTGTCTATCTACAACTAAAAAGTGTGGAGGGCTGGGGATGGGGGCTATAGCTCAGTAGTAGAGCGTTGCTGGCCTAGCATGCACAAGGTCCTGGTTCAGTCACCACTATTCCCCACCCCCCAAAATAAATGAGCCCCAAACATAAAATAACAAATGTATGCAAAGATAAAGAGAAAAAAGAACTCTAATATACTCCTGGTGGCAATGTAAACTAGTACCTCATAATGGAAAACAGTATGGAGGTTTCTTAAACTAAAAAAAGGTTTACCATGTGATCCAGATAGCCCACTCCAAAGGAAGTCAGCCTATCAAAGAGGTACTACACACTATGTTTACGTGACACCATTCACAATAGCTGACGTGGAATCTCCCTGAAGCCCATCAGATGAATGGATAAAGAAGATGTAGTTTATACATAATAGCTGAAAATAATTCAGCTGTAAGAAGAATGAAGTCCTGTCATTTTCAGCAAAATGGATAGAACTAGAGGATGTTATGTTGTTAAGTGAAACAAGCCAGACACAGACGAGATCAGTACATGCTATATGCATACATGGAAATATCACAATTCCATTAATGTGTACAACTAATTAATTAGTAAAAGTAAATAATTAGGGAAAAATAAAAAGAAATTTGCCTCCTAGGCCCACTGTTGGGTGTGAGGCTGCTGGAAGGAAACACCAAGACCCTAGGCAGTGGTCACTGGGTTTTGTTCTGAAGAGCCAGGATCCAGCATCCTCAGTGAAATGAAACTGTGTCTTGATAAGAGATCACAACACTAGCACCAAGTCCTTCCTAGTGTGAGCACCAGACCTTTCCAAATCATTCTGCTCCCTGTCAGCTATGGTAATGACGGTCCATGAGGGAGGAGGTGAGAACATCTGCTGTGGCCCAGGAGAGCTCAAGTGGGTGAAAGCCGGGGACCACTCCTGAGCCTGGCAGTATAACTCGACATCATGCAGCACACTGCCTCCTGCCTGCAAGGCACAGGGAGGCCCCTGGCTGAGCAGGCACTTGCTGGTGACCATCTGCTCAACTTCTGGGGATGAAGACAAGAGCTGAGTGACCAGGGTGGTCCCTCCTGGTCTTTAAGTTCCTTACAGGGCACCACTAAGCCCACTTGTGCATATTCCACCTGTGACTTCAGCAGATGTGTCTTTAGACCTCTGCGCTCTCCCTGAGACTCACGCTACAGGCCTTGCCTTCAGGATCACAGTGCTGATGGGAAGGTTAGGGTTCTGCCTCTAGGAATGATGACTCTGAACCCAGTCACAGCCTCCCGGTCCTCAGGAGAAGTCTAGCAGGTAAAGGAGGCAGACCATGAGGTGGACACACCTTTTGCAGGAACTGCCAGAGCATGGGCACCATCTCCTTGCCGTTCTTCTGCTCCACAACATGCTGGAGGTACTCGACTGTGATCTTCTTCCTGCAGCTCCAAATCTTTGAGCAATGAACCACATTTTTCTGGGGCAGTCGGGGCAGGAAGTTCGCTGGGTCACCATATATGATTTTGGCCACGGGGTTGGAGCTGACACGTTCATCCTGGCTGATGAGCGTGCTCACAGTCAGCAGGGTCTTGTCTAGATGCTGGGTAAAGAAATGACACAGCATTCTGCACGTGGGGCACTGACCCAGAAAGCAGAGCAGACACCACAGTGGCTCCGCAGGAGTCTGCCTCTGCACCCCAGACGCTCACTTTTGCTCTCTTTCACTGTGATTCAGGGGTTCCTTGTTCCTAAACAGAGCAGGACTCTAGGGCCTGTATTTCACCACCCTTCACTTCCTGACTTCCCTGTCCTGCTGTGGATAGTTGGCTCTGATGTTCTCAGCGGAGCGCTCATGAATCCAGAGTGCCCGTGCATTTCTGGAGGGTCTCTGCCTCTTACTTTCACAACCTGCTGTAAAAAGCAGTGGAGAGTAGGCTGCTGCCTGCCCTCTGAGAACTCCTGATAATCCTTGGCCTGACTTATGGGACCCTTCTGGACAGAGAGCTAAGGATTGGTCACCACTTGCCCCTTACCTCCAGTTCAGGTAGAAGAAGAGATGCAACATGTTTTTCCCAATTGTTTCTCCGTTCTTTGGTTGACAATTCCGCATCAAAATTTAAATGCCCTACAAAGAAAACAAAAATGTCTGTGTTATCCAACAAAAAACAGCAATCTCCATACAGTAAGCACTGAATGACATTAATAGAGATAGTCTTCTTTCCTTAAGTTAACCAGGTACTGCCAACACCAGCCTCCAGACCTTGTGAAGATGCTGTAGTCTCTGGCAAACCTCCAAGCCATAGCTGTGGTCTTTTTTAATCTTTTTTTTTTTTTTTTGTGGTGCTGGGGATTGAACCAAGGGCTTTGTGCATACAAGGCAAGAACTCTACCAACTGAGCCGTGTCCCCAGGTCCCTACAGCTGTGGTCTTAAAGGCATTCCAAACAAACGGCTGAGGACAGGACGAGAACTTGACAGCCACACAGAGCCAGCTCACTGCTGCCCCCAGGCCCGTAGGCAGAGGTGGTCCCATGAGCTGGCAGCAGGTTAGGGCTCCCAGGTCCATGTGCTGCAGAAACCACACCACAACAGAGGCACTCGGCAAAGTTGGTCTCGCTAAGGTGGGAACTACACACTAATGCTGTTTTCTGGCAAAGACACTCCTGAAGGGGAACAGATTCTCTGGCTGTAGGAACATTATTGCAATTGTAATTATCTGTAGGCTTTTAAATAACATTGTTCTACAGTGGTCATCATGATTTTTGCAGGTAAGCAACAAACTGAAATCCCTCCTAATGCCACCCCGATAACCACTTACAAAGTCCCCTTGCAAACCTATGCTTTGGGCATGGATATAAGTGTTTAGAAGAGTTAGTTGGGCAAACAGTGTTTATAGCCTCCTTTTGTTCATGTTACAAATTGTAGATGTGAATATACTAGGTCAGGGTACAAGTGTGACATCTTTGGGAAAGCAGAAGTGGGACACGTGTCACTTGCTGGGGTGCAACATGATCCCAGGGCACAGGTTAAGGCTGTGTGCACATGCACCAGGTGTCTGTGCTGCAGGCCTCAGTCAGGCAGGGGGTGTGTGGAGGAGTGCAGTGCCCTCCAGCCCCCGCAAGAAGAGTAGAGAGCTCACTTCCACTCGTGTCACCGCTCAGCAGGAGCCAAGGGAGCCTGGCCTCCTGGGAGTCGTGCCCAGCCCTGTCCCTTGCTTACTCTGGCCAGGGAGTGAGCACTGCTCTTTGAGAAGGCAGCGCAGGATGAGGTGGACCACGTGGGTGGTCTCGTCGGCACTCTTCCCCAGTGTCTTTGTTAACTGCTTCAAGTCTCTCTGGATGTGCTGCTGCAGGAATCCTCTTGGGTCCCTCACTGGAGGCTTGATGATGTTTATCAGGGCCTGTGGGGGCAAGGACCAGGCAGAGGTGAACACCACCACTGGGAGAGGGTGGTTTCTAGGTGAGGCCAGGGTGCTCTCAGCATGACGCAGGCAGCAGGGGACGGAAGGCAGGTGAGTGCAGTGAGAGACTGCTGACTGATGTCATCGTGGTGTGGCGGGGAACACTGCCCTATACCTCCTGCAGCCACCATGAGGTCACAGGCAACAGGGTCCCCTGCCCTACCATGCCCAGCTGTGGGCCGAGGACAGAGCTGGGCACTCCAAGTAGACTTTATGATCTGAATGTTACATCCTATTATACACGTGCTAAGACGTCACACTGTACCCCACTAACATGCTGTCTGTCAGTTAAATAAAACAGATTTTGAAAATTTCAAAATGAAGTGGAGTTTCCATAATCTGATGAGTAGTTGCCCTACTCCATCGAGGCCGCAGTGGAAAAAGTAGGGTCTGTAACTCTTGTACCACTCGTGGACTAGGTAAAACCCCCAGGGGCTAGGACTAGGCAGACAACGGACTGATGCAAAGGCAGCTGGCTCTTCCCATGGCAACTTCAGAGTCTGGCGGTAGCGTCCTGTACCTTGGGACTTTGGGTGGCTCCCAGAAGCATAGCCAAATGAGTGAGTAGCCGGATGAGGATGAAGACCACGGGGGACAGCTCTCGGTCAGACACCACTACGACACCTCTGTGTTGCGGGTGGCCCAGCACATGGCCAGTCCTGGTTCTGTCTGTGTTGGCTCTGGAGAGGATAAGAGAAGGCAGTGAAGGCTAGAGACATCTGTTTCTCCTCAGCTGCAGGGGCCGTGCATCTTACAACCAGGTTCCCAGTTTGTTTTGTTTGTTTTTTGTTTTTGGTACTCGGGATGGAATCCAGGGGCTCAACCACTGAACCACATTCTCAACACCCACTTTTTTATTTTTTGAGACAGGGCCTCACTAAGTTGCTGAGGCTGCTTTAAAAATTTTTGATCCTCCTGCCTTAGCCACTGGGATACAGGTGTGCACCACCATATTTCCAGTTTTTTTTTTTTTTTTTTTTCAGTGCTGGGGATTGAACCCAGGGCCTTGTGCATGCTAGGAAACCACCCTACCAACTGAGCTATACCAACCCCTAGGTTTCTAGTTTTAAAGAAATACTAGATATTCTACCTGCCTAGACCACCTGCCTCCAAGTCTTTCTCTCTTTAGACCCATCTGGCTGGCTGGCTGGCTGGCTGGCCAAACCCTACACATTCCCAGTGTTAAGTAGCTGCACGATGTGGCCATTAGTGCAGGCTGTCAGGATGGAGGCCAGGATTGAACCCAGGGCCTTGTGCTTGTGAGGCAGGCACTCTACCAACTGAGCTGTATCCCTAGCCCTATATTTTTATTTTTGAGACAGGGTCTCACAAAAGTCCCCAGCTGTGTTCAAACTTTTGATCTTCCTGTCTCAGCCTCCAAAGTAGCTGCGATTATAGGCTTGTACCACTGCCTAGCTGAAGGTCAGAATTTTATATGGTTTCTGAGTCTGGTACAGTGGGCTGTCCACAGTATCTGCAGTCTGTACCTGGATTCAACCAACTGTGAATCAAAATTTTTCAGAAATAACTATGTCTATACTGAATAGTAACTTTTCTTCTTCTTTTTATTTTCTATAAAATATTATGAGTATTTACATAGCATTCACATTGCTTGAGGTATAATAAGCAACCTAGAGATGATATTTTAGAAGTCTGTAGTGAGCCGGGCACAGTGGTGCACACCTGTAATCCCAGCATCTTTGGAGGATCACAGATCAAAGCCAGCCTCAGCAACTTAGCAAGGCCCTAAGCAACTTAGTGAGACCCTGTCTCTAAATAAAATATAAAAAAAGGGACTGGGGCTGTGGCTCAGAGGTAAAGCGCTCGCCTACCATGTGTGAGGGTGGATTCGATTCCCAGTACCAATAAAAAATTAAATAAAGATATTGTGACCACCTATAACTAAAAATTAAATT